GCTTTTTCTACCCTGGGTGCCAGCAGACGTTTTGGCTCCCGTCTAGAAAAAGTATGAATAAGAATGGTCACTAAAAATATCTTAAGCGAACTATGCGTACCTTCGGGATTTTCCTTTGGCACGAACGCCATCGTGCTGGCATTCAGACAGCATGCAGTTGTACGAGTGGTGCCATTTACACAATAGTGAGTCACGTTTTGTTCCAATTGCATTTCCGGTGCTGAGATTATAAATGGAGAAAAACACTACCTCGGACCATTACGTAATCAAATGAAACGTGAGCCAAAACGTCTGCTTGTAAAGTTTCCTTCTGAGGGGAATATAAAATATAATTGCCATGCTTTCGCATTTCATTTCGTGAGATGGTTGATTATACATGGGACCAGGGAGAGTAAGATTTCAGGGGGAGGTGGAGGTTTCGTTCGATTCTCGTATTTCATGTACGTGACATGTTGTCGTCTTGCCTTATTATAGACATTTATGCCTTGTTTTAGATGGTTTTAGATGGTTTGCGAGTGGCTGTAGATATTTTTGAGGTGGTTGTAGGTGGTTGTTGAAATTTTTGAGGTGGTTGTAGATGGCTGTAGGTGGTTTTAGGTGGTTCTAGGTCGTTCCATGTTTTAGTGCTTACGACTCCATTATACCAAACTATCCAGTGGTGAATGCTCAAGTAAAACGCTCGATAAGAAGCCCGAGTGAACGCTCCTCGAGCGTCTAGTTTTATCTCATAATTATATCGGTTACTCACATACCTGGTCCCTTACTTCCAGCCATTTTGATCAAGAAAATTCGATTAGACTCAAAGCCGTTTGGAAGTACGGTAGGACTATAAACGGCAACTGGCAAATTATTCAGCTAGAGCACGGTATTTGTCCTACGGTCACGCAATGCTAAACGGCCGCAGGCCTATCATTATTCAAACAATAACAAAAGGCAAAGAGCCTCTCCTTTGACCGTTTCTAAAGGGAAAGATTCAAAGAAAATAACCCATGGAAACTGAGACCAAGAAAAGGGAAACCCACAGTTAATAATTCCACATAGTGCAACGGCCTGTAATTGCGCGGCGGAGATATTAAAGCATATATCCTTAAACTGAACAACTTCAACAAATTCTTTTTTCGTGTCATTTCAGCCACCTCTGATAATGAAAGAATTGCTCCCGTAACTGTCATCACCTTTTGTTTAAATTCTTTAGACTCATTTATTTGCTAATGAGACGAAAAAACCGGAAACAAATTCGTTCAATCAGCACATGAATATCTGGGTTAATTTAGTCGTTTTACCATAATTTAGAAATGAAATTGTTAAGTTAGTAGAGGTGAATAACTTTTTAGATGTTGCGTCACTCCATAAATTACTAGTTGATCGCTTATTAACATTTTCGCTTGTCGGTTATCAATAGTTAGAGCGTCAGAGCGATGGAAGAAGGGCTAACGCTCGAAACGTTATTTTTTAAGAGTGAAACAACTCCTTGTAGTCCTGGGCTCATTAATAGACATCTCATAATGTTATATTTTGGTATCTCTAATCTTCTCGTAAGCAAAGGCGACATTTAGAACAGTGACCTCGTCGAACTTTCTTCCCACGATCATCATACCGACTGGTAAGCCATCACTGAAACCGGCGTTAATTGACAGGGCTGGGTGTCCTGTGACATTTATTGGTGATGTGTTTGGAATACTTTCAAATGCCCTCTCCAGATATTCTGCAAAATATATTGCAAAGGGTTATTAGCATTTCATGGAATCTCCTAGTGAATTAATGGCCCAGTTATTGATAAGTCAAAAAAATATCCTTCTCCCAGGAAATGAAAAACCTTAGTCTAGAGTTCTGAAATAAGACAACATTAATCGATTTATCAGTGTACTTATTCTCCTTTCCTAAAAGTCTTTCCCACAATTAGATTCCGCGCACAAAAAGGGAAGAAATACACTGCGTATAAGCTGCGGTGATAATTCCATGAAAAAAACAGATGGATCCAATTAAAAAATAAAAAATAAGTAAATAAATGAATAACTTTTAAAAAAATACACACTAATAGAAGCGGATTGTTAATGACTCATTGGAGACTTATAACAGATTGTCCAGCTAATAAATCTTTTTTCTTTAAAACAGGTTCTTACACAAAGATGGGTCAATTTTGCCTGTTTGTTTGTTTGTTTCATTCAATGCTACATTGCTATTTCAATAATTTTGGTTTCTCAAGAAAGCTGCAGAGTGATAGAATGATACCGTTTCCCCCCCTAGTTTTTGCTACTTTCCTGTGCAATTGGTTCCCGCGTGTTAACACTACTAGGGACTAGTCCCTGCGACCAGTCCCTTCATGTAAACTCTTCAGAGGACTAGTCGCAAGGACTAGTTGCAAGCACTACTACCCTCGTATGTGCCGACCTTTAGACATCTCAGAGACACCTCACCCAGATATTAATTACGGCTTGTTGTTTATGAACAAATGTAATCCCTATCCTATTTTTGAGGGCTTGTACTTCATCAGTTTCTTACATTCTACGATTCCGTTCTACTTATCATTGACATAATGAAATAGCTAAAATCTGACCTTCCATGGGAGGATTTTCCTGCGGGAAAACTGGTGCCTTCTTGGGGATGGTCGGTAGAATCAACACATCGTATTTTTCAAGTGCTGCATCGTACGCTTTACAAAGCTCTCGACCTAGGTTCTGCGCTTTTCCATAGAATACACTGTTGTAATCCTCGTGCAAATACTTGGCGATCAGCCGAACAAGTTTGCAGCTTTTTGACAGGTCATTTGAGTGGCATTTTAGGCCTCGAGAGAAGGCTTCCTGTAGAGTAGTGTCGTAATACATCTCTGCTGAAGTTCCAAAACCTGCAAGACATCAAGTACAACATACCTGGATGATAACAAATGACTTGACAGGATGTGGCAATTCTAGAAACAAAATGACATGAAATGACATCACATATATCATGACAAATTTGACACGTCATGCACGTCATGACCTTACATCACATCATATCAAATGACGTAAATGATCGTGACTTGCTCCACGTGGCTTGACATGATAATGGATAAAACATAGACCTCTACCGTCTAACGTCGCCAAATAAAAAGGTAACTGTAAAATTAATTGGATCAATTCGAGGGAAAATCATTGTTGTTTCTGATCCTTTGATGACTGTTGAGCAAAATTTTCACCGGTGAAAGCACCAACTGCTAGACAAATGCACACCAAGAAAGCGCTTGAATTGACTCTTTGATCCGAAACTTTCTCTCGGAACACCCCTTGAAACCCCCCGCAAAAGTCAAATCATAATGGGCGTATAGAACATAACAGTATAACAATAAAAAAATGTCTCACCGGCTCCTTCAAACATCATTCGATCGCCTCCGATTTGCAGGATGGGACCAAATATTTGCGTACCTTTAAAAATGTATAAACGTAAGGCCAAAGAAAACGATAAGATAAGCGAAGAAACAGAAAGGCAAATAAATAAAAAGAAAAGAAGTTTATGTGACCTTGAGGCGATTATCATAGTAACCAACAATGTTTAAAAGAACCAGAACGTTTTTAAGCTTTCCGAAATTCTCGGGTCATCGCCAATAGTAACAGCTTGTTGGACATTTATTTAATTGGCAATCTTTTATTAAATAAAATTATCCATTTTAACGGTACAAAATTGATATATGACAGAGAAGTATAAATATAGATTATCTATCTCATGTAGGACCATAAACAATCACAAAATTCTGATTTACCGTCAGAATGCATCGGGACAGACACTTCTTCGACAACTGCACCGCCTGCAGTGCCGAGCTGTTCAGCGGCCTCTCTAACCATCTTATCCACATCCGCTTCGGAATTCTTCAATCCAAAGCCTTCTTTCAAGATTCCAATCTTCAAGTTGTCTATTTTTCCTGTGAGCTGATCATGACCAAATCACTTTGCATTAAAAAAAATTAATACCAAGGTATAATATTTGGGTTTTCAGATTAAAACAGACAAGTGATGACGGTAGACACATTTCTATTTCAATCAACTTCTTCCTTTCCCAACCCTAACGCTCAAGCCCAAGTGTCTCCGCCTGACGTATGGCACAGCGTAAGAGGAGTTGCCAACCACGATTCATATGCAGTCAGTAAAATCAAAGTATCACTCAAGAAACCTTTCTTGGTATCAGACTGAAGCATGTCCCATTACCACGGTGTTTTTAGCTTCTCAGCACTCATTGTTTGTAGCTAGTTTCAATTCCGCAATTCCCCCCCCCTCCTACACACACGCACCAGCCTCTTTTTTCCGTTCTCCATCACGAAGCTTCCTTCTACAACTGGGGCAAGTTGATCAAAGGGCAGGTAACGCTATCTAACGAATAAATCGCTGGCCAAAACATTCTGCACTGTCCAACGAATAGAGATCTATCTGGTGGCTAGCGCTATCCACCTTTCGCTCAATCGGGGCCTTACCAATGACTAATTTACCAAGGAAACACGAATGATTTCTGGACTCTAATTGGAGAAGAAACACAGAACGCATCGCTGTCCCTCCGCTTTTTTTTTTTTTCGTGCATGATTTATGGCTCGTACAATTTTAGAGCAGACCTACCAACGAAGTATACTCTGGCACTTTGAGATCCCGTGGTTGCCTAGGGTCCATTCCCCCATCATACCCTGCCATGACCTATAAGAAAGACTGGACTGGACTAGTTCATCATTACTCATGATTGAATCAATATTTTAATAGCCAAGACAGGTGGCTCAAAATTATGGGCGGGTAGCAATTACAGCTGGACAATTAAAAGAACCTTTCCCAACATAAATTTCAAGCAATTTGTAGAATATTTCGATTTATTGCTCAATAACTACATCTGCTATGATTACCATGTTTGCCCAGAGTCGCTGGCATACAACTATACAAGAAATCAGATAGACCGACAGGAAACAAAAAATCCGATAAATCGGGATTCTATTTAATCATAACATCTATAACCTCCATAAGGAAGTCGCAGATTCCAGTGCCCTTTTTATTTTCCGCAAAAAATAAATATATCAGGAAATTCAAAGTTATCCGTGTCAAATATACATTAAATCATGCATAGTAACCCTACCTCCAACATCAGAGCTGTATCATACACAGTCCTGGCCATAGGTCCCGTACGATCCAAAGTGAATTCTATCGGCATGATGCCCGTATATGGAACTAACCAGTATGTTGGTTTCAGTCCCACAATACCGCAACAGGCAGCGGGGATCCTTATTGACCCTCCTTGGTCTCCACCGGTTGCCATATCAACTTGCCCTCCAGCCACCTTAAAAACGACGAGAAGACAAGAGCGTAATCAAGAAACGTGGCTGCACAAAGCAGCCACATTTAATCAACTTGCCCTCCAGCCACCTTAATAGCAAGGGGAAAGAAAGGATGTAAGAGAGAGTCGAGTTGGCACGAATTAACAAACAATGAGATTTATTCAAAATAGATAAATGACAGTTTTTAGTCTGGAAAATGTGAGTGCTCGGAATGAAAAGAAACTGAGTCCAATCAAAAGGAAAGGAAAGAGAACTATGGAAGGCTCTTTGTTTCCTTATTTACGAAGGAGATTATACCAACATGGTGACAGTTATGCACATAATGAAAATACAATTCTATTCACCTAGACGTAACTGTATCTAAATTTCTTTTGAGTAAGGAGTTGGTAGGACATTGTTGTTCGTTCATACTAACCAAAGCTGCAGATCCTGAAGACGACCCTCCACTCATTCTCGTCTTATTGTGAGGATTAACCACCGGACCAGTGGCAGCAGTAAAACTGCCTCCGCTACAACACAAATTTTCAACACAACTTTTCCCCACTATGTGTCCACCGGCATCCAATATCCGGGTCACTACAGTAGCATCCACATCCGGGACAAATCCTTCCAAGATGAGGGAGCCATTCATCATGGGTACCCCTGCCACACATGTGTTGTCCTTGACAGCCACAGTTTTGCCGTGAAGTTTACCACTTGATGCTCCTTTAATGTCACATCGCCAGTACCTCAAATGAAATGTAATATATTTTCACCTGCGTTCGTTTAGTGTACTGGGCTACGAAGCCACATGTTGGGAGCAAGGCATAGCCTCAGCAGTATGACATTTATC